AATTTTTGCATAAGATTCTAGAAATACCATCATCCTAGCAATGTGGTAGCCACTATCATCCAACCCTGCTATGCTTACATGTGTAGAAAATTAATAACAGCAGGTCACTGAAGCAGTAGCTCGGATCTGAGAAAAAAATGGTAAGCAAACACCTGTATCATGTACGGACACACAAACGACAACTGCAAGCAAGGCAGCACAATCAGGATGACACCATCCACACACAGCAGGTGCTGGAATGAGCACGTGACCACGAAGGAAGCATTTCTGTAAGAAACCATCTGAGATGTCTTTCAGGAATAGGTCATTGTAAAAATTACACGCTTTTGTTCTTGCTGCTTTTGCTGTTTTTCTCCACCATGAGCTGCTGCCCTCTGCCATGTGCCCTCAGCCTTGGAGCCAGCTGATAATGGACTGGAACCTCCAGTAACTGTGAGCTAAGTAAACCTTTCCTTCCTTAAACTAAAAAGAAATATAGGGCTGGCCAGATAGCTCAGCAGACTAAAGCACCTGCAGACACAGGGACTAGGGTTCAGTCCCCAGCGTGCCATGCTGGCCCCATCCCCGGGGACATGCTGAGAGGAGATTGAAACTGGGTATGGTGGCATGCACCTGTAATCCCAGTACTTGGGAGGCTGGAAACAGGAGAATCACTATGAGTCAGATATGTATAGTGAGACCCTGTAGACCCTGTACTAAATACATACTATATATATCCCAAAAGCAGACTAAATAATAATTAAGAATAATAAATTTTATGTTCAGAATGTATCTCTTCCAATAGCAATAAATTCAAGACACAAAATTGTACTTTCCTTATACTGGGACAATACTGGAGCAGATGGCAAACTATTCAAATGGGTAGATAGTTCTACTGAATCACTACCTCAGCTTCATTAAGAGAAATACAAAGGCTGAGGATATTGCTCAGCGGCACAGTGCCTGCTGGCAAGTGTAAGGTCCTGAGTTCAATTCTCAGTAACAAAACAAAACAAAACAAAACACAACAAAACAAAACACAACAAATAAAGAAAAAGAAAAATCCAACTAATGTGGAAACCAGTATCTTCTAAAGCTAAATGTACGCATCCAGTGATGGCAAACCTTGTAAATCTTTCAATAATAACAAGCGGGCCTCTGGGGCCCACATCCCATAGCTTCACCAGCACTCATATAAACTCCGACCCAGCACAACCCCCCTCTCCTGTGGGCACTAATCTCCATCAAAGACAAGTTCAAGAATGTTCGCTGCAGGCTGATTTGTAACAGCCCCAAACTATAAACAGCCCAAATGCAGGCCTTAATGTTTTCCAAAATACAGCTAATTCTACCAAAGAAAAAATACAGCATGTCAATCTAGCAATTCCAAATCTCTCTTGACTCACATACTCCTTTCATAGATCCTGTCAGGATATTTTTATTTTCATCATATATGATAAAATACATTTTAGTATGATGTATTTCTTTTTTTCGTAAGTTGCACACATTTAAGGGGCACAGTATGACATTTCAGGACATGTACACAATGCATGCGCTGCTCATCCACGACTGGTAATGAACGGAGGTTATATTTGTACAACATTCTTGTCAGCAATGAAGTAGAATAAACTATTGCTACTCAATGTGCACCAGTATTAGATAACACTAGCAAATGAACCCCCACAAGTGCATACTGCATAAACATTTATGTAAAATTCCACACTGGCAAACCAATCCACCATATGACAGGTCGGCACAGAGCTCTTTCGTGGCGACTCCTCAACTGCAGCGAAGTTATCCAGCTCTCCAGGTGATGCCCCAGCACTACACAAACACTGTACTGGTGATAATGTCCCCGTCTGGATATTACACTGCACTTAAATACGATGTAACCACAGCAACTCTATGTACTATTTTTGTGAAAAGAAAAAGAAGAAAGATAAAATAGGAAAAACTTCTGGGTGCCTTAAATCCCGATGCTCTGAAAGATGATTACGAAGAAACACTAATCCAGTAATTAAATTTCATTTCACATAAAATAGTCTATAAAGATGATACATGGGCTGGGGAGATGGCTTGGCGGTCTAAGTGCATGCCTGGCAAGCACAAGGACCGGGGTTCGATATCTGGTACCACATGCTATGCTGGCCCCAGAACCCTGGGCACACCGTGCTGGCCAGCAAAACTGGGCATGGTAACACACACCTATAATCCCACTGCTTAGGAGGCTGAAAACAGGAGGATCACTGTGAGTCTGATCTGTGTAGTTAGGCCCTGTATACCCTGTACTGAACACCAGCACCACCCCATGCTTCCAGATTTTAAGCCTCTCCCCTCCACCCCCAAGGAGCTGGGAGAGTGAGCGGTGCCACCACGCCCAGCTGAGAAACCTCATTCAAATATTAATCCAGGGTAACATACCACATCAAGTTTTGACCACGCGTCATAATCGTAAGATTTTATCCTGTTTTTAGTGTTTTCCTCTTTGGTTTTTTTCAAAGACTCTTTCACTCTCCTTTTCTTCTTTTTCCTAAAATTCCCATTTCGAATAGGAGGTAAACTCTGTAGAGAAAAAAAAGAGCACTGTTTTGAGCATTCTGTTGGGTTTTGTGTGTGTGTAACTAACAATGTTTAAGCTTTTCACTAAATTATATTTTGAAGAAGCAATTTCTCAATTTAATTTTCAATTGTTTAAAAATACAATTTACCAGGTTCACTTATAAGAATTATGCTTGAGAAGTTTAATTCATCCTTTGATGAATACTGAACACTGCTTGGTCCCAAGTATTATCTGGCAAGCATGGCTCAACAAAACAACAAAGTTTGGTTGAACTTAGGCAGCATCTGAATTTTTATGCCAGTATTAGACAGTAATATATCATTAAATATATAAATATATTATTTGCATATATGACAAACACCCCCTACACATTTCACAATGCTGTTTACCTTTGTCACGTTCCTCATAACTATTCATTAAGATTCAAACTGCCTCAATACAGTCAGTACAATTATTACAAAGATCTTTTTTTAAAAGGAAAACACCTAAAAATTGACAGTGAGGTAAATTACTCTAATTTTGATATTTTCACAAAATGCTTTTTAAAGCCATGCCTTGTTTTAAAATAGAAAGTTCTACTAGCTACTAATTTAAGAACTTTTAATTCACCTCTTCAGGAACACCACTCTGTCTTCTCAGTTCCATATCCTTTTGTTTAATGTCTTTTTCCCAGTTTTCTAAATCCCTCATAAAATCTTGCAATTCTTCTGCATTTTGTTTTACTTGTAGTTGTAATTCAACAGCTTTACTTGTTGACGACATCGTGACCTGCAGAGTTTTAAATAACCAAACTCTGAGAAGAATTAAACAGACTGGCAGATGCTCCTCAAATTATAGTTATTTATCCATGAACCCATCATAAACTGAAAACACTTAAGTCAAATTGTATTTAATCGGCCTAACCTACCAAATATAATTTAGCATGGGCCAGGAGATGGCTCAGTAGAATAAGCACTTCCCTGGCAAGTGCAAGGGCCTGAGTTCAATCCCCAGTTCTGAAAAAAAAATTAAAAAAGAAACCAAATATAACTTAGCAAAATAGTACAAGTAAACATCAGTTGCACCTCTCTGGTCCCAGGGCTGAGTGGGATGTGGCCCACCATGAACACCCAGCACTGCAGGAGGACTGTCCCGTGTGACACCCAGGAAAAAGTCAAATCCAAACTTCGAAGCAGGTTCTGTTAAATCATACTGCTTGCTCACCACTGTAAAGCTGAAAATTCCTAACTCAGCCTCAAGTCGGGGGTGGTCCAGCTTATTTCTCTGAAACTTATTTAGTGATTTTTCACTACTTCATAAATGATCAAGATGTATGCACAGAAGTCAGCCCAAAGTGATGCTGAATAAAGAAATTATCATCATAATACGAGTCAGCTGTTTGCTGAGTAAACACACAAGTTTGCCATCTTAGAAACACAATATGAATGAAAGGCAATGGGGTTAAAAAAAAAAAAAAATCACTGGAATTAGCAAGTCACCCATGGTAACAAATTCTCTAGAATTTATAAGCATGCCCAATACTTCACTCCTTTTCCTTCCAGCTCCGTATCAAGATCTACGGATGTAAAAAAACAAGAAAGACACGGTCTCCAGTCTAATAGAGAAGGAATAAAATAAGCCAAGTACACAGCAGCAAAGTGTTGTCAGGCTAGGTCTCAGTCTTGGGAGCGCTGACAGTTGGGACGGAGTGGTTATTTGTGCTCAGTCGGATGGCTGGCAACAGCCCTGCCTCTGTAGCCTAGGCACAGGGCCAGGCCAAGGTTATATTTTTCCTTAGATCACCACCAAGCAGCCCGCAGAAGGCAGCATGGCTGCTGGCAGAAGACACCTGACATGAATCACACACAGATGCCATGGAACTGACCGAGGGGAGAGGCCACACATCAGGAGGCAGGGCAACCCATGAGGGAGAACTCCTCAAAGATTTGACACTGCAGTTAGGTTTCACAAAGGGCCAGTCGAGTGCGCGTGGGCAGGTAAAGAAAGTGAAGGAGTATGAGAAAGGCACAGAGGTAGCCAGGGAGCAGATCTGGACGGGCCAGGCCGTGAGGTCTAACTATACTGTATTCTGAAAGCCACATGAAGGTACTGAGGGGCAAAACAATGACTTGAGGACTCGTACTCAACAAGAGAAGTTGGATAGAGCAACTCAGGGTTCTTTCTAGCTTTCTGACTTGGGAGCCTAGTAACATTAGGGAAGGCATTCTGAGTCGGGAAACACAATTTAAGAGGATGTGGAGATGGAGGGCAAATGCACGGTAGGGTCGGCTGCGTGTGGGGCAAGCTGAACTCGAGTGCTCATGCAACCAGCAGGTACCACAAAGGACCAGGGATGCACCTGTGTCGCCAATTGGGAGCCTGAATCCTGGACCTGAGCTAGCCTAGCCACGGCGACCCTGGCTGGGAACCGGACCCTAAAACCTACCGCTGCTTAGGAACAAGGGAGAGGGGTGCCAGCACGGGAAAGATAGCCAGCGCCTCCCCGGAGTGGGGTGGAGGCAAGTAGCACGAGTCGTCAACAGATGGCCAAGGGGATGAGTTCGAGCGAGCGCCGACACCAGGGGCGACACCAGGCGCGCACAGAGGAAAAGAGGCGCACTGGATTCGGCCCTGTGAGGACTACGGAGCGCTTCAATGGCATTCTTTAAAGGGTGGAGATGAGGTAGGTGAATGATATTATAAGCGCTCCAACGTGCCTTTATTCATGCAAAATCTGCTCTGGAACCTCGTCTGGATGATTAGGGAACAAGGAAGAAGACGTAGGAAGGCGCTGAGAGAGAAGGCAAAGCCCCCGAAATGCTGGAGGGAGACTCAAGACGTAAAGAGGGAAGAAAGTGCGATAAAGATTAGAGAAATTTAAAAAAAAAAAAAAAAATGGAATAAGTGCTTCCCTGGCAAGTGCAAGGGCCTGAGTTCAATCTCCGGTTCCGCAAAAAATAAATAAATAAATAAAAATAAAAATAAAATAATAATTAGACAAAGCAAGAAGAAAGTAAGATAAAGGAATTAAGACTTACTTAGAATAGAAAAAAAAAAAGTACCCTGAAGAAAGGTGGAGGAAGAGCTACCCACGGCTCTTGCTCTTCTGACCTCTTGCCTCAACTAAACGGAGCCTCAGCGCCTCCAAGCAGTTCCGTGTCTGATTATAACAAACGCGCGTCTCATTCAAACCTAACTTGTGCAACGCTTGGCTGAGGACTCAAAACAAAACGCCAGTAACAGCGAGGGAAGCGCCCGAGACGGTGCAGAGATGCAAGGGGCACCTCTTTCTCGTCGCTGCCAGCTGGCCGCCCCCGAGCGCCCCGCCGCCCCCGAGCGCCCCGCCGCCCCCAAGCGCCCCGC